AATATATAAAATTCAAAACTCAATTATTAGCACTTGAAATAATCGTTATAAAATTCAAAACTTATTATAAAATTAAATTTTTTATTTCGACTTGAAAAAACAATTGGAAATGAAGAATTTGGTAGGGGATGCAATTGAAACTTGAGAGACGATATATTCGCAGCCGTGGTTCATGTGAAAATAATTAGTAAACCACGCTCCCCACATGGGGATCCAAATTATAGTATCTTTATAAATCCTGTTATTTATTATTATTAAGTGGAAAATGCCAGCTGATTAGGAGCATGTTCATGTATCGAGGACTACTTATAACTCATTTCCCATTGTTAGTACAATGATATGAAATTTATATTAAAAACATAAACGGATTAATTAATTGCTAACTACTTTATTTTGATTATTTAATTAACTTACACTACTAATCTATATAATGAACTCAAAAAAGAAAATGTGAGAAAGAATGTGCTTTGCGGCGCGCCGGCAGGAATAGCTGATTTTGCGCAAAGCCGGTGAATACTGTATGATTCTCATTACTTTTTTTTTTTTATCCATTCAAATCGCTTGATTTTGTTCATTTCTTTTGGATTAAGCAATCTTAATATTGCATTTGTTTAGGCGGGTGATTTAAAGATAAGTTATTCAAGTATTAAATGTTTTTTGATAATTATTAATTGAATACCGTGAGTTATGGGATATCATATTTGATATGTAGTTAGGAGGTAAATTAGTAAAATTGATAACAATATAAATAGCATAAACATATGACACAGAGACATTGTCCTTAATGGTGGAACCTTGTTATCATTAACTAAGGTCTCATTGTTAGGAGCAGACCCACATAGATTACAGGTGGTTCACTCGAATTTCCTCATTAAAAAGTTACACGTATATTTTTTGCCTTTATCAGTTTAAGATCCTATTATTTTTTATTTTCATATCTCCTGAACGACAAATCGTAAGTCCACCACTACTCATTGTTATAACCTATAGACAACCTACTTGTAAATACATTATGAATTTCAAGCAATATACAAAAAGAATATAACTCTGTTTTCATGATGAGATAATATTAGATAAGAGTAATAAATTAGAATTAGTGAGTGGAGCGTAACAAGAATACAACTCTGTTTTCCTCGAATTTTGCATGATTACATAATATTTGATCCTTATTCTATCAATCAGCCTACCAAATGGGTGTTTAATAGAACGTCGCATGTTATCGCTCGCAGTTTTAGTGTAGAAATTACCTATTCATGTTTGACATTTTAACAAGGTGGCTCTTGCAAAGGACATGCTTTTAATGTTTTTTATCGCTTGCATACTCTGACACTAAAAATTTTGTTATGTACTTAAACTTAAAGAGTATTCTTTATCACAGGTTACAAATTAAAGTTTTCATTTGTTTCTAAACTTATTGAAGTTTTCTAATTTTATCCTTATTCCTTGGAGAATGCATAATAATTTCTCTATTTCAATTTATCAAAATAATGACACATTTCTATATTAACAATTCAACTATAAAATATTTTTTTTATTCTTAGTGAAATGATTTACGGTAACATAAATTTATATCAATTGTTTTTTATCATAAATTTGGAAAATCTTCATCTAAACTCTGTATCAAATCAAACTATCTGAGACGGAGGGAGTAATTAGTTTAAGAAAAAAGTGTGGTTGTCACATGCTAGTTGCAACTTTCGTTATTTGGGGTCCGATGATGAAAGGATGACAAAACAATTTCCAAATAAGAACTGTTGGAAAGGAGACTGTATGAAATACCAAAGCCGCCCACAGGAAAATAGACTGTTTTTTATAGTATTTTGTTGATAGCATCCCTTCCCAAGCAAGATATATAAATCACACCTTTTTGAGACAATTGGTATCGTATATGAGGGAAGTAGTAGTCATATTGGGAAGAAGGAGTGTTTTGTGGCACAGTTAAAGGAGCATGAACCTATACTGCTGGCTTCCCTATTATGGTCCAATCATATTCACATATCCATTAAATCCATTCCTTTTCTATTCACCTTACTTTGACTTTCTCATTTTTAATGCATTCAATACTACATTCTCACTTGCAACTTGTGCTCTACACCTTCTTTTTTTAAATAAATAAATTAAAAGTAAGGTCAAACCAGTAGAAATTTATGATTGATATTTGAAGTTTAGATCTCGTTAAAGTGTTATAAATAAAAATATGTAGATAATTAGCTTCAAAGTTTTGCATGTGTACCAAGGAGGAATATTTTTTGCTAATCAATTTAATAGAAAATTTTAAAAATTAGAAACAGTATGAATGTAAAAGAGGTAAACACTAGTAGTCTTTTGGTGAAAAGATATTATCATAACTAATTAGCATCACTCAAAAGTTTTTTTTTTTTTTTGTTTTGCCTTCAGATATTTGTATTCAAATTTTACTATGATACTAATGATGATCAACATACATATTTTAATATATTGACACATTAGCTCTGTTTTACTGTAGAGAAGTTATTTCAGATAAATCCTATTGGCTCAAGTAAATATTAGATAAAATTATTGTCTTTATATCTCTGAACTAATTTATTTTTATAGTTTCTCATTCTATTCATTGAATTATAGCTACATAAATAACATTGAAGACAGGTTGATTATATAATTTTTTATTGTCATTTGTTATATGGTGTGTTAAGCTAGTTAATTAGTCCATGACGCTCCTTCCTACCACAACTGAGATATGAGGTAGGATAAAGGAGGATCTTTATCCTTTGCTGAATGTGTTAGGGATATCTACTTACCTTTTAAATGGGAATTTGAGAGTAAAGATTTAGACTAGGCCCAATTCTTTCTATTCCTTGAATGATAAACGAAATAATGTTTGAAAAGTGAAAAAAGAAGTGGGGATGAAATGCAAAGAAAAATTTATTTATGTAATATTGAGGGGCGAAAAAACGTCATTTAAATTTGAAAATACATACTTTTTTTTGTCTTAATTTATGTGACACTTTTTATTTTATTTTTATAAATAAATTAAACTATATAATTTTAACCTCATTATATATAAATAAACATGAGAAAATTGCAACTTATTGTTCTTACATATTTTAATATTAAGATATTAAGTAAATCGAATTAAATTTAATATTTAAAATTACTCAAATGAACTATAAAAAATGCCATTTATTGAAACTGAGTGAGTAGCATGTAGTCTCTCTGTTGTGCAAACGCAGATGAGATTAATTTGACATGCATATGTATGAAATAAAATATAAATTATAAATTAACCCTATACAATTATGAGGAATAAAAATCGATATTCATTCAACAATTAATATGATGTCCAAATAATCGTGTAATGATTACGGCTGCAGTTGACCAAGCAAAATGGTACTACTTCTAATTGAAACCAATCATTGTTGAAAAGTTTCAAAATCGAAGTACTCCATTGACTTATCTAAAAAAAAAATCATACTGAACAACTCCCCAACCCACCAGAGTCTTATAAAGTTAGGAAATTTAAAGGTATATAATAATAATAATAATAATAATAGTCAAATGATAGCAATGTTCATACTTGTATTTCATTCAACATTTGACTAAATTTGGTGCCTCATTCACATATGATATATTGGTGAGAGGGGGTAGCTAGTATAGATAAATATGAGGAGTAAACTACATGGAAAGTGCTTAGAAAGTCTTCAAGTTTGGTTTCATTTTCCCTACCAACTAACAACAAAATTGTGCTTCAACTTTCCAAGTAGCTAATTGATGTGACTGCATGCGTTCATACTCGGAACAAATAATCATCTCAAGTAAAACACGTGCTAACAAGTAGCTACATACTTGTTATCTAAAATACATTATAATATTTAATATTTAGTAGTTATAGAAATCTAAAACTTTAAACATTTTATAATATTTGTGTGGCTATAAAAAATATTTCATTAAGAAGTAAATGAAAAATATTAAATTAATTATTTCTATTATAAAATATAAACTCATAATGATATAATATAAAGAGAAGAAGGCAAGAAGAAATGTAGATAGAACTTTTCTTCTTATCCAAGTGTATATATCAAATGGTGAGAGATATTTCTATTTATAGTGTTGAGATATCACTCCCAAAGATCACCACATTAATAGATATATAGTTATCTCTTAAGGTTTTATCACCTCGAAAGCTTATCACCTTAGAAATCCAATTAATTGTTGGATAACTCTAATGAATCATCCACATAAAACAATTGACTGAAACGTGTATATTCTTATATTTCACGCACTGATGTAATTACTGAAAAAATAATGTGTCTTGTTTATTGAACTGTGATTTTTTACCAAATATTTAATTAGAAGAATTTAATTTTGTATTTTCTAAAATATTTGAAAAATAATTGCGTAGGCTATCCTACTTGCAAGAAACTTTTTTTAATGGGTGAGGGGATATTTACTAGAGAACTTACGTTGATAATTGGCATTCAAGTTCAATGGATAAGCATATGAATGGTTATCTTAATCAACTCTCATGATAAACCTAAAAAGTTGGTCAAATCCCATGTTTGATAAAGATGAGAACAAGTAAATAGTGTAAAAAAAAAAATTAGGATTCATGCACATATATGATTCCTTGTATTTGATTCAGTTTTGACTAAAAATCGCATGCCCTCTCTCACACATTACATGCTATATAAAATTGGAAAACACTTGTTGGAGGGGCCTCAATACGACACATTGACATACTAAAATCCAATACCAAACTAATAGGAAGGTGCATGGAAACAGTGCCAGCCACGGAAACTTCACAATTCCGCGCAGCCGCTAACTTCCCAAATCGCAACAAAAACGTGCCACAATAACCGAATTCGCGTCAAATAGGACCCCATTTTGGAATAGTATTTCCTGCCAAAGATTTATCCGACACAAACATTCTCACTTAACTGAACAGAATTAGAATTTGTTTTACTCGGTAATCAATTAAGAAATAGCTTAAATTCATCAAAACAACAATATTGATTTTGTTGTAGGAGGTAATAACAAATTAAGAAACTAAAAAAGTACTGTTCTTTAACCATATAATTTGTTAGTCATATAGAAATTCATAGTATGTATTCTGTACAAAAAAATTGAACAAATTGGCTAGCAAAAATATTCAGAGAACTCTGTGACTAATTTTTTTTACTACAAAATTGACATCACCTAACACTGACCCAGCCATCAGCTGTAGACCATTCAGATTCAGGTTTACGTTCACACACTAATTCTCGAATTCTCTCTGTCGGCGATGTAGACCATGACCCGTCGTTCCAGTTCATCAATTCTTGAAACGCCGGCGAGGGCAGTGATGTAATTGAACATGTTACTGAGGATTCAGCAGAGTTGTTAGATACCCAATCTGGGAAATCAAATGGGCATCTTGGAGATGTTGAAGGGCTGCCACTGTTGCATCTTTCGTAATTTAATAAAACAGTGTCATCTTCATCAGCAACAAAGGGATGTTCTAGAAGCATCTCAGCTGTCCATCTCTTTTTCGGGTCCTTCATCAAGCATTTTTCAAGAAAATCTTTTCCTTCTTCCGATAAATTTTGAGGAATTTCAGGTAATTGGTCACCCAATCCAATTGTCATCAACAATTTACTTATATCTAAACATCTCCACACTGGATTACCAGTTGCCATTTCCGCCACCACACAGCCAAGTGCCCAGATATCAGCCGGAGTATTCTGTTCGCCTCCGATCACCATTTCCGGTGACATGTACAGTGGAGTACCCCTCAATTCACATCTCAATTTATCATCTCTCTTTGATTCCGCTCTCTTTGCCAATCCGAAATCAGCAATTTTTACTTGACCATTTTCGCCTAAAAGAATGTTTGGAAGCTTTATGTCGCAGTGAACAAAACCATTCTTGTGGATATAATGAATCCCTCTGAGTAACCCCTTTGTGTACTCCCTGACTTCAAGCTCCGGCAACCTCTGATCACCGGAATTCTTTAATTTATCCGACAAAGCACCCCCACAAGCATACTCCAACAAGACATTGTATAGCTTTTCGCCATTTTCATAACTGTAGCTGTCACCAACGCAATTGATTATTTGTGGGCACCCCTTAAGTTCATCCAAGATTATCTTCTCGTTCATCAAAGTAGCTGAGCAGGAAGCGGAACAAGACTTAACCACCATTGATGGAGAAAACAGAGTACTCTGGTTTCTCGGAATCACAAAACTAACTTTGCCAAAGCTTCCATGGCCAACTGTTTCACCTCTAACCCAATCCATTTTTGTGTTTAATTAACTGAAGTTTGGTAATTTAAGGTTTCTTTCTGTCTGTTGAGAGAAAAAGAAGAGAAGTGGCAATGAGCTCTGTTTCAAGCAGCTGACTTCTATATATAGAAGTTTGGGGGTTTCTAATTTTATTTTAAGTTTTAATTTTCAAAGTTCATATTTAAGGCTATATTAAATGAATTAATGTTCATTAAAGTAGTGACGAACACATGTGCGTATTAGTTTTTTTTTAATAGTCAAATTGTCAAAAGAAAATAATTTAATACGTAAATTAATATAAAAAGTGTGCACGTGATTTTGCAAAAGATATTTCAACCTAACATAAGTATTTAACACATTTTATTATCAAAGAACCGTCCACTCAATCAAGCCTTGATATTTTCTTTAGTAAACAAATTACATTTAAAACTAAAAATCTGATAATTTCAAAAGAAATTTGGGGTTAGTTCAAAATAGTATGTTGGTAATTACCTATCTAATATGGTTGATCTATCAATTTTGCAAAGTTACTAGTGAGTAGTGGTACTCCCTTTGTTTAATTTCAATTACACATATAAATCTAGGTAAAAAAATAATATATATATATATATATATATATATATATATATATGAAATTGCATAAAATTATATAAATTATAATAATTAATTATTTCTAAAAATATATATAAAAAATACTTTTCAAAAAAAATTATTTAATAATCGACACTCAAAATTTCGAGGATAAAGTATAAATTGAGATGGACAATTAGTTGATGCAAGAATTTGATAACACGTGATTGTGAGGTGCATTGAAATTTTTGTCTCCTTTATACGTGTTTGTTTGAGAAATGGGGGGGTTACTCTACTTGTAATTATTTAATTCATATCAGTAATCATGACCCATATTAAGAACATTCAGCATCACATTTTTAACATCACAATCAAACAGTTTCATTAGTTAGACTAATCCATCATTAGAAGTGTTTAAAGTTGTTAGATTTAACCTTGATATAAGAAGATTAGCTCCTACTAATCCAGTTAAAAAGGTTTCTAACTGTTTGGATTATTAAAAAGGTAAGTTTAAACTTTCAGAGGCCTCATTTTTAATAATAACAGGTTATACGCTATTATTTTTAATAAATATTGAATCCTTTTTTTTGAAAAAGTTAACTTTCATGAAAAATAAAAAAAATATTAGTAGAAATTTGACATATTTAAATTATTATATCTAATGAAAAATAATTTAAAATAGAAATGGTTATATATCACTTGAAAACTAGAAGAAATCAATTATATAAAAATTATTAATAATTCAAGTTTAAAGTCTCATTTAATTTTTGCTTTAAAACACTAATATGCTTGATCCGCTCCTACAAATGTAAAAGAAAGAAATTATTAAGTTTATAAATTATTAAATTTGGAATTTAGATTGATGAAATGTGTAGTCAATATCCAACATACTTCCCCCAACCTACTAATTCCCAACCGACAATTCATATGATGTTATTATTATTGCAAATATAAGGTAACCGACTGCTTTATATTCATTGCATAATCATTTTCTAATCACTTGTTTAGTATTGGATAATGATGCATTTGATCCAAATTATAGAGAAGGGTTTCATGGTTTTACCATCCTAAACGTGTTTAATATTCCTAAATAATTCTTTTGAAAAAAATAAATGCATGTTATCATTCAAGGTATGTCACGGATGGAGTCACTAATTAATACTTGTATAATTTGTGAATGCATAGTGATAGAGGTTGAAGATTTTGTTCACATTTGATAGATCACGTTTGGTCAAAAAAAAAATTTCACATGATTTCCAAAGTGGACTGTACAGTAGCATAACTTGTGAATGGAAAATAGTTTGCTTGTGTTCAATAATATAGAACTTAGTTCTAAAATGTATTTCATATACTCTTTCACTTGCTATTTATATCTGAAATAGATTTTCATTTTTATTCGTCATTTTTAACTTGAAAAAAGATAATAATCTATTTATGTTTTACCCTCAAATATTTAATATTCATTTGTTAAAACATCATTTAACAGGAGATAGCTTGATAAAATATCTATATCATAATTATTTTTTATAATAGATGTATGCATATTGCCTAATTAAACAAACGAAAAATGGGACATGCTGTCCTCGATGAAAAAGAAAGGGAAAGAACCCATTTTGTTACTGAGTGTGAAAATGTTTTTTTGTGAAACACACGTTATCTCATCCATGTTTCATGCGGAATTACTACCACATGGGAATCTAAGGTGATTAACAAATTATTTATCTAATAACGTTTAAAAGTTAATCATACTAATCAAAAAATTGATAGAAATATAATTATAGAAATTCGATTATAATAAGTTATTTCGTACTACTTGAAACAAAATTTATAAGGGTATTTACCTGGCCCGCTGAAGCCTAAAGCAAGTAAATCACTTACTTTAGGCCCAGGCCCCAAATTCATTATATATTTGGAGTATTTTATAGTTATATAATTAAAATGTATTGTGAAAAATATAATTTTTGCTTATGAAAAATGTTGATTTCGTGGTTGTATATAACCTAAATAAAAGAAATAATTAAGAGGTTTGCGTGCATCGACAAAAGCAGCTGATTTTGCGTAAGGCTTCTCGTCATTGTCGGTTTGCAAATGGTGTTGAAGACACACGGGAGGAAAAAAGGCTCATTTTGATGGCTTACCAAAAATGAGTGAAACCAGTTATACATTCGCTCCGATCCACTCACATGTTTAATTTTTTTTATCGAATTTTTCAGAGATTATTATCATTAATATAATTATTGTGTTGGGATAAAAAAAAAATAGCCTTTAAACGATCCAGGAAATTCTTTAGACATGCCTTTTAAGTCTTTTATAGTCTTTGACGAAAATTTCTCTCGTTCATCAACCATAAGTAATAGGTATTTTATTATATATTCACTCCAATTCTCTCACATGTTCAATTTCTTTTAATCAGTTTTCAAAGATTTTTATCATTAATACATTCACTATGTTGGGATGAAACAAGACTTGTTAGCCTTTAAACGATCCAAGAATTCTTTAGACATGTTTTTAAGTCTTTTACAGTCTTTAAAAAATAAAATTCTCTAGTTATCAATCATAAGTAACAGGTATTTTGTTATAAGACTGTGCAGTGACTAGGACATCTCGGACCATCCAAGTCCAATCCAGGTTCATGTCCCACCCGGTCCATAATGGCTAGGAGGGGGGATACGACAGGTCGTTGGGCTGGGCCCAATATACCAGACCGGTCCAGATCCGATACAGTCACATGAATCCGGCTCAGACTTAAATTTATTTTAGCTTTAATGACTTTGTAGGAAAATTAAAATTAACTTTAATGACTTCGTGGATACAAAATAAATATAGTGACTTTAGTAAATAATTAGCCATAAATGAGTGACTTATATGTAATTCACTCAAAATTATAGCTATTATCTCATGCGAATGATCTTTTAAATATTACTCCTTTTGTTCGGAATTGTTTGTCATGTTTCACTTTTCGAAAGTTAATTTGATTAATTCTCCAAGTTAAATTAGATCACATTAATTCAATATTTTAAACAAAAAAATTAAACATTCTAAAAATATATGAAAAGTACTATAAATTGAAATTTTTTATATATTAATGTGATGAAAAAATACATCTTAAAATGTAGTCAAAATTTTTATAATTTTAACTCTAAAAATAAAAACCATGACAAATAATTCCGGACGAAGAGAATGCAAGTATGTGGGAACAGGCGAGTTTTTTATTCCATGGTTAAATAGGTACCATTTTATTTTTTGAAATTTAGTTTATTAGTTTAAAAAAGTTTGATGAAAAAATATTTGAATTAGTTGAGTGATATTTTGAATTATAAAATAAAGTTTGAGTCACTTTCTAAAAAAAGAGAAATGGCCATCTCATATATTATACCTATATCTTGCTTTCTCTATTTAGAATCTAGACCAAACCAAAAATTGAGTCATTCCTACTTCAAGTATCCATTATACATCCAATATTCATTTTCTGTTTAGGCTATATTAAATAAGAAGAAAAATTAAAACATGGGTGATGGGACATCAGTTTTATCGATCAGCAGAAAGAAATAGTATTAGGATAGAGACAAACTAATTAGCCAAAATTATTCTAATTTTAAATTGTGAGGGTGCTTTAATTTATGCATCCAAATCCGAGTGAAAAGAGTAGAGTTCATGCATGTATCTTGAATTATATTTTGATTGAACATTAACTAAATTTTATCCTTCCGTAGCTCACATATCACATGTTTAATTAATTAAACTTACGACACCAATCTTTAGTTCCACAATTTCCCCCAGGGGTGGAGCCATCTCGAACCCATTTCAACGGAATTTTTTTTTATATACCATGTACAAATTAATAAGGATTCAGGATGTGTTTGATATAGTAAAAAATATTACTCCCTCTGTCCCATTTTATGTGGCACTATTTTCTTTTTAGTCGGTTTAAAAAAGAATGTCATATTTAAGTATTTAAAGGTATAATTAATTTTTTATTCTTGTTGATCCCACTTAATTTTGAAAATAGTACTTTAATACATTTATGAGGAGAGAAAAACATGAGTTACTTTTTTGAAGGGTGATTTAATAAATATATCAAAGACTTCATTATTTTTTTAAACTTCGTACCCAGACAAATATTGCCACATAAAATGGTATGAAAGGAATATTAGATTTAAGCACGTGGCTGCTGATATCCATAAAAAAAAAAAAGACCAAATTATTAGTGGTTTGATTTGATGTTATGTTATATATCTTGGTGCGAATGCATTGACCAAAAAAGGGTCAAGTTCTCCCTCTTAGCGGTCCCATGTTAGCTATGTTTGATTGTACTCTCTTGATAAAATCAAATCCTTCATAAAAATACTTATAGATATATTTCTAAGAAAAGTTGATTTTATCTGTAGATTAGATTCTCTACAAATCCACAGGTCAATAAGTATGCAAATAAAAGATCAATTTTGAGTCATTGCACTGACTAGTAGCCCTTTTCTTTTCAATATATAAATGTTGAAGAGTTTAAAAGACAATCTGGAAGGGTCAATTTCAACGGGCACTGTTTTGCTTAAAAGATCTAGAGAGTCATACCATAAGTAATTTAACAATTGTGTACCTCTATCTCTTATAATTATTTTATTTTTAATTACTTAATAAATTTGTATTTTGGTCAAGTACCTTATCAACACCCCCTCATATTTCTTGGTCATCATTTTTATATATATTTTTAATTTTTCTTCTAGAAATTAAACAACTTGATTATCTTTCAATGTGAAACTGAAGAGTTTGACCCATTAATCACAATAATAATTTTGTTTCTCACCACAGAACTTGACGCGAAGTTACCAAAACGAGGCTTCAAAGTGTCTTTTTCATATTGGGCCTAGATTTCAGCTCTTCTTGGGCCAGCGTCTTTCCTCCCGCTTTGTTACTGAAATTACTACCTCATTTATTAGTGGAAGTTTTCATATTTTTAATTAATTATATTATTATTTTGTAAAATGGACAAGTAATTTCGCTAATATATTTTTATTATTTAATAATAGAGAAAATTGTATGAAATAGTAAATTATTATTTTAAATTAAACGATATTGTCATAGTTTATTTTTATTGTAATTCGCAACGAACATTCTCCTTTTTTTTTTCCATCTGATTCGATATACAATTAGCTATTTTATACATTTCGGTTAAAAATATATTTGTGTTAATATAAAACGAACGAAAAAGTGTATATACAGATACATATATTTCATCCTATAACTTATGAATATACAAATACTAATCTTATTATACAAATTTTGATGTATGAATGAATTTATACAAAACTAAACAATTTGTATGAAATTGGATGTTTGTAGCAAATTTTACAAATCAAAAGTTATGTAACAAACATAAAATTTACTATGAAACGCAAACATGCAAAATAATATAAACAAATAATATGAGACTTATGAAAGTACTTCATTACCATTTACCAACTACTAAGGGGGCGTTTGGTAGGATGTATCAAAAGAAATAATCCATGTATTAGATGTGGTATAATTTAATATGTATTTGGTAGGAATGTGAGCCTATGTGTAACTAATCCATGGATTAGTTAATACATCCTACATGGTATTATGTGATGTATTGCTAATTCCTTCCATTTGGAGGTATTAGCTCTAATACCATGGACTATTATAGGTAAAGACAAAAATACCCCTCAAATCCTTTTAATATTTAATTTATTTTTTTGATTTTATATTTTATATTTTATATTTATACTAATAAAGTTATTTAAATAAATTAGCTTACAACTTTTATTATTTAGATATAATTTTTTGTTTCTAAAATATGAATTACTTAATCTATTTATTATTAATATAAAATATTATATTTCGACTAATATGTTAATGTTGATGTATGAATTTAAGAACAATTCATAAGTAAAATATTGTCTCTTAATGAAAGTTCATTAAACATTACACAAGTAGTCTAAAACAAGAGTGTGTGTGTATATATATACACACACACATCTCGAGTATAAAAATATTTTAATTTATTTTTCTATATTTATTTTATATTTTTATTTTATCTTACGATAAAGAGTTTTTTAAAATTTATTGATACAAAACAAAGTTTAATAAATTTTCTCTATAATCATTATAGTTGTGTGACCTTTTGAGTTATTAACTCTAATTTATTAAGATGACAATTATTTACTCTCAAATAATTTAAGTGAGAAAATAGTGAACATGACAATAAAAATTTTATTCTCCTAACTAGTTAAAAATGTTATAAAAAAATAATATTCTCCGTTAATTATCTAATTTGACTCAATTACATGAAATACAAAATCTCATAATAACTCTAGGGTATAATTGTAAAGTTTTTTTTTAAAAAAAAAACATTTAAATCACACACAAAATTAGATAAGAAACAATGAACCAAACACTTGATAAAAATAATCCCTGCATTACTAATCCCTGTATTGCTAATTCATTGCATTGTTAATTCCTGTATGAAACGACCCCTAAGTGTATTATAACTTGTAGCTGGTACTTAAGTACGTATGACTTTTTTGCAGAAGTAAAAAATTACTTTATTATTATTACTTACTATAATAGAAGCAAAATCGTTGCTAAATAAAATCAAACATATATGAATAGAAAGAGAAAATTAGAGTGAGTGTATAGGAAAACACATACACAATTGAAACTAATTTTACCTAAACAAAGACATAAGAATTCCACCAAATATCAGTCCATACGTAGTAGATCTACCAGAACAAAGCTAGCTAGCTCCCAATTCGCAAGCCATATCACAGAAATGACAAATAAGGTACTATAATGCATAGATGATAAAATAATAAATAGAAAATCATATTAATTGTTCATCTACGGCAACGAGTGATAGCAGAGCAACCTCTAGTGTAAGGATGAGCTGGACCTGTAGCATGATAACAATGGTGCGTGTAATACGATCTGCCAGACCGTGGTGGGCAGGGGATTCTGTTAGCTGATAATGCTCCGTACGAAATGTAGTACTTGAATTTGTTCCACAATAGAGATCTTCCATTTCCATCCAACTGGATCTCATCATCACCCGACATTCCCATTGGCAACTCAAAATCTTCACTCACCACTTGTTCTAAACCAAATCTATCAACTTCTGCTTCAACAACAACTGCATTTTTGCCAATCGTGAATAAGAAGATGATAAGGAAGAGAAGTATTGGAGACTCCATGACTGAGGTTTGTATGCAAAAAAAAATTGGAAATATGTGTGTTTGTGTAATTGGAATACAGATTGCTAGTGTTTGTAGGGGTCCATCAATTAAGGCTGCATTGTCTTGGTAATAGTGCAACCCGTTGTCCATTAATTCTTGCTGCTACATTTGCGGTTAGGTTATCTAACTTTCATCGCCCTTGATAAATGTTGTGGGCTCACACATTTTATTGAACGCTTTCTACCTCCTTAATTTTTGTGTTTGTACTACAAACTACACCATCTAATTAACACTTAAAAGTAATTATATAACCTTGAATCAAACCTGAGTTTGTGGTATAGTAATAAAACTATTTTATTCTTAATTTAAGAAATTGAGTTTGAGCTTTGAATATGAAATTTTATTTTATTGAAAGCGACACTTCTCAAATGGGTTTTGGATATCGAGTAAAAAATCAAAATGTGACCCCAAGAACAAATATCTTTTATTTGTCTCACTGGTTACCCCGGAGATGTTATTCTGACAAGAGGAATTTAGGCATACTAAGGGGGTTGTTTGGTTGAAATTCAAGTTATGATGAGATTTTTATGATGGAGTTAGTTAAGATGGGATAAATTATGATGAGACTAATTTTATTGGGTGTTTGATTTGTTGTATTTAAAATAATAAATTTTAAGAACAGTTTATCTGTTTATAAAAATATCATTCATGAATACAAATTTCGAAATAAATTATTCCAAAATTATTATACCACCCAAAAAAAGCAATAACTTATTCTGCTACTAATTATTAATCCCGAATACAAATTAAGTCATATTATAATTTAATGTTGTCATTCACACCAACCGATTCCTAATTACTTAATCAAACAAACAACTAAAGAAGCTAGAGACTAACAAGAAAAAATTTACTTTTTCCAAGTGCCTTATTCGCGCTACATAAACATTTTTATTGCATCTTTGCAACAAAATTTAAATACCCACGTGAATATAAGATTTTATCGTGACTATAATATTGTGACTGCATAATAGAAGCTACAACCACCAACACTGATCCCTACCACATATTAATTGTTGTCGATCATCGCCACCAATATAATTATTACCAACACCGCTAGTTTCTTTCGCAAAACCACCATTGCTATCCACTTTCACCGCACAACCACCACATCAACCTCTACTACTTAATTAAACAAACAACTAAAGGATTTATAAAAGAGAATAATACGAAGAATTAGCGACAGACAATTTCATAGTCAAACAATAAAATCTCATTTAGCTAACGGAAAATAGTCAATAAGAAATTTCAATAACCAATAAATTGATAATTAATGTCATATTTTCTAATAGTAAGACTGTCCATGAAAAATAACAAATTTGATAGAAGAAAAAAGTTTGTTGTATACGTGCACAAAAAGAAAATGTCGTTGGAGATATGTGAGACAGCACCCCAAGTTGTTGCAAACAGGTGGGTCTGAAAAGCGAAATGCCTCGTTGGTATAAAGATCTCATTAGTTGTTCTTCTCGATTTACTTCTTTTTGGAAAGGAGCAGACATTTGTATGTGTAATTTCACGTGCAACTTGTTAACCAATTCTTCTAATTTATAATAACTAGCTAATTATAGTGGGTCGAATGTCTGATTGAAAATAAAAAAACACTCAGAATATTAATTAGATACCAAGCCAATTGCATTTCTATCACAAAAAATTTAGCGCATCTTTAGTCTTGTCAATCAAAGATGATTCTTATGTATTATCTTAATACTGTCAACAATATTCTTTCTAACAATCGTACGTTGATATTTTTCTTATTGCTATAACAAGATGTTTGATTAGCAAATTATTTTTAAATAGAAGAAAAAGTTACATTTATGACGGTAGGAAAATGAAAGAAAGTCTTATCACACAAAGTCTAGTAACACGTTGAGAAAATATCAATCAATCTACTCAACTGTGTAAGAACCCACACCTTTTAAATAAAAAATGTCCAACTCTGCTCACTATTTGCCTTGCTTCTAGCGCAAGACTGGAATTGTAAACACAAGGCAAACCTAGTCCCTTATGATATTGGAACGATACAGAAAAAATTAGCATAGTTCTCGCACAAAGTTAACATTGCACAAATTGAGAAACCTAAGACTAGCCTTTGGGATTGAAGAATGAGGCTGGAAAATACACACCATTTAACCAAATCTTTACAAAAAGTAGTCATTACTCATTAGCATGGTAATGATCAGGACGCTGCGTAGAAACTGTGAAATTAGGTCTTAGGCCTAACTCACACCCCAAAAGCTAGCTCAAAGGGAGGAGGATTGTCCAACCCTTATAAGAAGTCTATCCATCTCATTAACCACTGATGTGAGACTTTTGTCATTCTTTAACAAATGTTATTTTCATTTTATTTTAACTAAGCATTTGTGCACCAGAGTTCATGGATTGATGAGGCTGGCATGCCCTAATAGAGCTTGAATTATAATTCATTGGCCCCCCTGGTGATGACATTGCTGTTGAAAATCCAGAAATCATCGGCCTATTATTAACCGCGGCTTGCTCTAGTGATTGAAGTTGCTTCTTTAAAAACTTAACATAATGGACAGCCTCATCTAACATTGAAGCAGTATCCATTTTAGTTCCTCCAGGGACTAGTCTTTGCAAAATCCTTATCCTTTCGCTTATTCGTTCCCTCCGATGCCTGGCTGCCACACTCTGTGGATCCTTCGATATCTTAACATTTTTCCTCTTGGGAGGTTTAACTGATTCTGGATCAATGTGAATTGGTTGCATCATCGCGATACGAAAAATCATCTCCCTCATAGCCTCCATAGAATTCCTCCTCTGCAAACATGAGTAATCATTTCCATTACCATGAGTCGATGCTATAATTTCATCGATCGATGAGAGTATTGGCATCGCGGCTGGCTCTTCAATTGGATTGCCCATGAATGAGAAATTAGATGGAGGAGAATTCATTAAGTAATTGGAGTTATGGAGTGGTGATTGTAAAGGTATCATTTCAATATTGCTATTGGAGAATCCAAGTTCTAGTGAGTGAGCAATATTTTGTAAATCCATGATTTGTTTTTGTAAGGTAAAAATAAAAAAACAAGAGGATATATAGAAATATTAGAATGAAAGATGGGCTAAAAGGGATACCACACTATGAGAAGTGTTCCTTTTGAGCACAGCATGGAATTGTCAGTGCTATATGTGCATATATATGACAAGTTGTGACCTACTCCTATGTTTTTATATTCTAAATAATACGCAATGATACAGACCACTCTGTTTATTTTTTTAATTTATTTTTCGTTAAGAGTAGTAGTTCACAAGGTAATTTCACAAATTACAAAAGCCTGACTCATAGTGTGAAGATGAAATAAAAGGAGAATGCTTATGAGTAAAGGTGCATGAACCAAAAAGGAGTAGCCATGACTAAAGAGTTAAAAGAGAGGTATGGTCCTGGGAATGAAAAACTAGATAGAAAAATTAAGTTGAAAAAACTCAAAATGATAACCCCACAACACATGACATCTGTCAGAAGGATAACAAGTCTGGTTTCAGAAGTGGGGTAGTCAAGAAAGATGAACTTACCTGTAAAGTATGCCATCTTCCATTTCTACATTCAGCTACAGGCATCATGGATGTGGAGATCCGGTTTCGTACCTCTTTACAAAAACTTATTTATACATATAAAAGATCTCAAAAAGGTTGTTAGTTTTTTTTTCTATAGGACGAATTAGTATTTTCGTACTTTAGATTATTTATTTCTATAAAAGAAGTTAGTATTAAACATTAATTATACATATAATGATTAAAATGTAATATGAATTTGATGAGGACGAGTTTAGAGTCATAAATTTCAAATACTACCTTGGTCTGAAAGAATAATGGGCATCCTGTTACACAAGTGTTTTAGTTGAATATAATGATAGCTTCTATAGCACGCATCTCGATCTCGATTTAGTAAGTTTTTGAGAAGTTGGACCGACCCTCTGCTCCACTCAATCACGACAGTATTAAAAAAAGATATTTAGGACTTCAAATTTAAGGGGCCTTATTTTTAATAATAATAGATTATAAATTATTAGTTTTTTAATAAATATTAAATATTATTTGTAGAAAAAGTGAACTTTTTATGAAAATGAACGGATTATTAGAAGAAATTTGACATATTCAAAGCATTATATGTCATGACAAATAATTTAAAATAACAATGATTATATTATCAATAGAAAACTAAAAAAAATTAATTGTATAAAAGTTATTAATAATTCAAGTTTAAGACTCCATTTAATTTTTACTTTATGCCACTAATATATGTGAACAGCTTCTGCTCTCAAGTTGAGAAAACGACCTGTTTTGGACCAAACATGGAAATTTAACTGCCAGGTAAAACAGACAGTCTGACTATATTTTAACATCATGAAAATGTTTAAGTCCAAACTCCGCTTACAAGTTACGGCTTTTCTGAAATATTCTGCTTCATCAGAACACAACACGAAGCAATGATTTTATACTACTCGAAAACTTGCGTATATGCTTATACAGAATTGCATTAGTTTACCAATGATTAAATACAAATTACTAAACCAATTCTTTTAATGAAAATGTCATTCAACTTTGCCAAATATGTTCAAAAGTTAATATACAATCATTCGAATAGATAAGTCACTAATTATAATAACTTGGATCTCACCAAATAAAATGCTCACAGGAATGAATGCAGGGAAGATAATCAGAAATCAGAATGGGGCCTACGCACTTCGTTTTGGATTCAGCAATACCTCATAAGGTAAATTATATAACCTCGATAATTATATCGTAAAAATCTTTAATAAGAATGTATAATATAATTTCACAATATGAAAATAACGTATTTAATGTAATCTCACACGTAGTAGAGTCTGGAAATTATCAACAAATTAACACAAAGCAACCCGATTAATTATCCTCGTAAGCTGATCAATTTGGAATTGGAAAAAGTCCCAACTCCATATTTGTTGTTGATTTTAGTATTTTATTGTTTGTTTTGTTAAGTACTCCCATCAAATTAGCCAATGAGCGCTATACCCTACTAATCTTATATTATGTCATAGGAAAAAAAATGTCTATATATTCCAAATAATTGTACTGGGTAGGACGTATCCTCTATAAGATTTAAATATTTCTCATCAGCAATGTTAGATAATATATACAATAGTAATAAGTAACATAAATAAAGTATTTTTCTGCAAGTGGTTCCAAAAGATAACTTACTTTTTTTTTCCCATTTATTTATTTATTTTTCCCCTCCCAAAAGAAAACTTCTAAAATATGTACCATCTAGATGAAATGAAGAGTCCACAGCTGGTTTCAATATAGCTAATGACAATTATGCTTTGATACTAAATAAATTGAGATCGACTATATATACGATAATAGCTCTAGAATAATAAAGGAAGGATGTTATATGCATGTATCTGATTATTAATCCAGAAGATTCGAAGGGTGCTACGACAATATATATATATATATATATATATATATATATATATATATATATATATATAATATGAAATTTGATATTTGTTGGATGGCACTGTGTGATGATTGATGATATTTATATTATTATAAAGGAGGAGTATGGAGAGCGTCATGATCCCTTTAAACCGACAGTGGAGGAGTCACCTTCACAAAAAATTGAAGGAAAAACAAGTCAGCTTTTACAAATTATTATTCACTTTCACTTTGATTTAAGGTCACTTAGTTTTACTAATAAGAGGTTAATTTGTTCTGGGAACCTCTTATTAGTAAAATAATTTCCATGGGGTATTCATTTTTTATGGGGTTAATGTATAATAGGTAGCCGGTAGGGTATTAGACCTCTAAGAGTTGATAGTAATTGATGACATATGGATAGGACTAAATATAAGATGTGAAATTTTGGAGTTTGGAATATCTAAATATTTAAATTACCAAAAGTAACACTGATTGATTTGGTATTAGAATAATTAGGGTATACAGTTTTAGAAGTATGCAAATTATTATAACTTATATTTGAGGAGAAATATTAAATGGCTCTTCTCAAATCAAGGATTTCCCAAAGACTTCTCAAAACCGGTTGTGTAGTTTGGTTATTTAAATTCAAACCCAGCCATAAAACATCAATCAGCGCCCATTGCCTAATGGATAAGGCGCTTGACTTCTAATCAAGCGATTGTGGGTTCGAGTCCCACTGGGCGTGTCACTTTTTCTTTTGTCCATCCTTGCCTATTCTATGTTTATTGGGCCCAGCACTAAACAATTGGGCTGAAAGCAAGGGTCTGTTGTTTGAGCTCTTTTGGGCCTATTCTATGTTTATTGGGCCCAGCACCAAACAATTGGGCTGAAAGCAAGGCTCTGTTGTTTGAGCTCTTTTGGGCCTATTCTATGTTTATTGGGCCCAGCACCAAACAATTGGGCTGAAAGCAAGGCTCTGTAGTTTGAGCTCTATTGGGCTTATTCTATGTTTATTGGGCCCAGCACCAAACAATTGGGCTGAAAGCAAGGCTCTGTAGTTTGAGCTCTATTGGGCTTATTCTATGTTTGTTGGGCCCAGTACTAAGCAATTGGGCTGGAAGCAACGCTCTGTTGTTTGGGCTCTATTAATATTGTCTAAAAGGACTAATTAGATTGCTGAAACAGATTCAAACTTAATGCCTATGTGAATGAGGAAACTACAACTCCATGGAGAATGCTACAGGCCGTGGAGGAACTTAGGGATATTGTAAATGAAAAAAAACTAGTGTTACTGTGACCTGTTCCAAATCAACTAATAATTAGAAATTTTTCGCTAAATATAACTCTCGTTTTCTTTAATTCACATCTAAAAACAACAGAAATATTTTTCAGAAATTATCTTTTATTTTTGGTTTGAGACTAAAAAATGCTCTTTAGAAAAATAAATTTTAACCCTCGCAATTAATTTAGGACCCAATCCTCACACCTGATCTAGGACAAGAGACCACAATGACTATTCTAAAATCTGACCTGAGATATGAGCAGACTTTCAACCCTAAAATATTTTTTCAAAATCATACTTTTAAAATTTTTTTATGGTTGCAGGGGTAGGGTGGGGTAAGGCTAAAGTAAGAATTGAAATTTAAGTTGATTGGAAAACATTTAAGTCAATCAAATATGAAAAAATGACAAATTTATTTATGCGACAGAAGTGGCAATACAAATGTTGTGTAAACAATTTAAATCATGTATGTGTTGTATAAATTAGGTTGAAAAATTCTTGCAAACAGAAAAGTTGAATAAATAATCAATAAAAATCATGATAGAAGTTGAAATACACAAGAGAGAATATAAACCGACAGAAGTATACCGTTCATCGAATGTATACTGTTCTTTTTGCATTGTCTATTCTGTGGAAATGATGTTTCTTTTATTAATTTAAAGAAAAATTGAGGACAGAGAATGAAAAATGAGAAAGAAATTACAAAGTAAAGAATTAAACTCTAAAATAGTCAACCAATTGAACCATTAAAACTTATGCACGTGCTTAATCAAGTTTTAGGCATTAGTTCACAGTGCACACTCATGTGTGTAAGTTATTTTTTATGGAGTAATATAAATAGATATTTAGTGTTTTTTTAAGTGTATGATCTATGCAATATTGGACTGGCTATTTAGCTTACCTTCTTCCCAATTTCTTTTTAACCTCATCAAATCGTTTCAAGGTATAAATTAAAAAAAAGCAAAACAAATTAATTGTCATCTCCAAAGCGATTAGTAAATAGGAACTTTAGATTCAGAATATATTAATTAGTAAAAAATGGTTGCATTAGATATATACCACCACAAAGTAGATTAACATTTAACATTGTACACACTATTTCTTTTTTTCTATTTGTGAGTATTATATTGGACATTTTATTATTGTATATATCACCTCATATTTAAATATTCCAAATAGCTATATATAAAATCTTATTTTTGAATTATCTTTTTCTTCGTTTAATATTAAAGATGATCAAGATACCCACTTCGTTTTATGATTTTGAATTGATAAAATGGGCCGGGCCCAATTTACCCTTTGTTTATTGGAAAAAAGAAGAAGACAATCCAAACTAATCAAGAGGAGATCACCCCACTGATTATATTCTAATGAAAATAAAAGTAACATCACACATAATGATGTTTTTGTTTCTACAGTTGAATGAATATTAAAAAAAAAATACTACCTAAAACTTGCAATGATTAACTTTTGATTCTCATGTCAAAGGTATAGCATTAATAAACGAGCAAGTAATTTTTTTAAAAAAAGAATTCAACTAGTCATATTTTTATTAGTTAATTTTAAGCACCTAATTTTTTCAAATTTAAATAAAACAATCTAACACGTCCATTAATGGCTACCATTTCGGTACCTGCCTTGTCATTTTTCCACGGATTAAATAGAGAAATCT